GCCATATCTGGAGAATATGGTGGTGGGGAAGAACTTCCCAACCCAACTTCATAATCTTGAATTGCGTCAAAGTACCACATGTGGATGTGTATTGCTGTGGAGAAGAAGAACACCTTTCCGATTGATGAGTGAATGGCGCTTTTGATGAATAGCTGATTTAAATGTCTCAGTTGCCGACTATAGATCTCTGCATTGATAGTTCACTGTGGATTGAGGAGTTCGAAATGAATTACTCCTTGGATGTCCCACCAATTGCAAAGCATCACTTTCTGTGGATGGAGTCCAGGTTTTGGGGTCAGAAGTGGTTTTTGTCTAGGACTGAGTAATTATTTTTCACATAGAGAAGCCATTTTTTATCACTGGTCACAACTGTGTCCGAAAATGGTTCAAGCACATTACGCGCCAGAAGAGACGTAGCATCGTTCACATGCTGGAAACGATGATCATCGGAGAGTTCGTGAGACCCCCAAACACCTTCTTTATAGAGTTTTCTGATATTCCTTAGATGTTTACGTATTGTTTCATGACATACGTGCAATTTCAGGGCCATTTCACAAGTGTGTTGCCTTGGATTAGACTCAACAAGCATCTATATCAATTCCAACATATCGGCCCCTGCCATCACAGTTTTTAAGGCTAAAGTCACCTGAACAAAATTTGCTGAACCATTGCTGATATTTACGATCATTCAAAACATTCCATAAACTTCTTTGATATTATTTGTGGCTACTAAGGTATTGTTTCCTTTCTTGTATTCAATTATATATGCCGAATGCGTGTCTCGTTGTGTGCCATTACTATAACGGATTAGATTATACTAACTTTTACACATTACATAGGCTACACTAATATGATGTTTAGGCAGTTCGTTTAACTATTATATGTGATGTATGTTTTTTTGTGGGGTGGTTATTGAAAGTGTTCCAAAATGCAACATTAATTTCTTGATGACCTAATATATCTCAACCCCTGAAAGATGCTCACTGTTTGTGATACAGTTTTAATAAACAACTTCACAAAACATTATCTACCAAATGTTAAATTTGTAAATCATTACTTAAAAATAATTACTTTTGAAGCTAAATGTTCCAGTATATGTAGAAAAATATTCTTCAGGAAAATGGGCATAAATTATTGTTAAATTGCTAGAAACATGGAAAGTCTTGGCAAATTGTCTGACATGCCCAGTTTATTAACAGACAGCCACGAAGTTCCAAAATACAATGTACACGTTCATATATTAGCTTAAGTACTTAGGATTTATATACAAAAGTTATCAGTAAAACTGGCAGTATAAAAGCTGTTCCATTGCATTTCATTTTGTACTATATAGTTCTATTAGCTAAGAGTTACTAGAATGTGTGTGTGTGTATCTGTGTTGTTGGTCTGTTCATTTCAAGATGAAAATATTGTTGAAAGCTGATAATGAAAATGCATACAAGTTATATGGAATTATTAATGATTTATTTTAAATGAATAGTCCTTATCTGGAAAAACATCAGCTTGAAGAGTTATATGTCTTGTTGTGGAAAATGTATTTTTCTTCTGCTGTTATTAATGTACAAATATAGGAGATACACAATATGGAACAGTAATGTTAGTATTAATGCTGCATGAATATGTAAATAATAAGTTAAAATTCACTAGATTTCCTTTAAAAATAGTTCATTTTCTACACCACATCACCCCTCCCCTCCCTTCAGATTATGGGTCAATTGTGGAATCAGAGGCATTTGTCATTAACCTCCACATTTTTCAGCTGTAGTTAATTTAGCTAATAGATAAGAGGCATTTGTCATTAACCTCCACATTTTTCAGCTGTAGTTAATTTAGCTAATATATAAGAGGCATTTGTTATTAACCTCCACATTTTTCAGCTGTAGTTAATTTAGCTAATAGATAAGAACAAAAGAATTAAGCTTTTATTTGTACAAGTTAATATGGATATGAAGTCCTTTATATAAATTGACTCTTACCTTTTCTCATAAATCTCAATAGATAAGTGAAGATGTTCTCTTTTTGTTTTTTCTCTTCTTTTGACCATTTCTAACAGAGTACTGTAAAGAAACAATCAAACGAAAGCAAAATCACACTGGATTACAAATCTAACCTTTATAATAAAACAAACATTTATATTAACAATTCATTCACTATATCCACATTATTCAGTTCAGTTGACATACCAAGAAAATTTAATTATTGATTATGCACTGGTATTCTTTATAGGAACAGGAAAATCTTGTACAATGCAATCAAAAACCAACATCAGAGTATAAAATAATTACTTGATAAGTAATGATAGTATAAAGGTTTTATCCATTATTAAAAATTCCTGGTAACATTGTCCTAGTAACATTTAATATTGTGTTAATAGTAATATTTAACATGCAGTTTAAAAGATCCTCAAAGCAAAGTAATGACACTTGCCAATTTCACCATTTGTAATATGTTTCAGAAGCTATCAATAGTATGGACTTCTTATCAAAAATAATGAAAATATATTGAAACAAACATCATAATACCATAGTAACTAGTTACAAATATGGACAAAAAATTCAAAACTTATTTTCATTTTCAATTTAGTAAAAGATCAGTAAAAGACAAAGTGAAAATTTAGTTGGATTCCAAAAAAAGTATGACTAAGTAGTTTACCCCTAGTCTAAAATATTTATTAAGGTTGGTTTTAGACTTTTAAATAGCACCAGGATCAAAATTACAAATAATGAAGGAAAGTTTATTTTTTAAGCATATACAAATTATAAATTTCCATAGAAATTTAAAATGATTAAAAAATTAGAAATGCAAACGAGAGAATTTTAGGCTCTTTAGCAATATAAAAGTCTAAAACCAACCTTAATAAATATTTTAAAAAAATTACTTAAAACCCAGACAGTATAAAAGTTTGAATTTTTGTATAAATATAGTATGATGGAAACTTACTATTGCTGGAACTCTTTATTAAAAAAAACAAAAAAACAATTGTAGTCTGATACTCACAGAAGTGCAAAATAGTAACTTATGTATTCAAATTGAAAAGCTCTCCAACATTCCCCACAATAAAACTCAACTCACGAAGAAAATTGACACTAACAAATCC